AAGTAACAACAGAATGGAAAGAAGCTCCTAAAATCTGTTTTTACTGTGAAAAAGAAGGTCACATTAAAAAAGACTGTGTAGAGCTTAAAAACTCAATTGAAACTAGACGACTTCTTAGAGAAGCCTGATCCCGAATGGAGAAAGAAAAATACAAAAACTAGAGGCTACAGAAATCAATTTTAGTCCTAATAATCTATACAAAAATGATATAGAGGAAGTAATTCAAAATGAGGAAGAACTTGCAGCTCCAGCATCGACTACATTGCCTGAAGAAATTTCAAATTCCAACAAGAGCTCAGATAGCAATATGGAATTAGATTCTTCTTTTTCTACTACACCTACAGATGTCGAAATTGATGAAACAACAACAGGTCCAAATAATATGATGGAAGAGCCCAGCTCCAACTCTACTGAACAAAACAAGATTCCTTTTACTACGGTAATGCCAAGAAAATATAAAGGCAAAAGCCCTAAGAAGAACAGTCAATACAGATCCGGCCAACCATATAGAATTCCAGGAAATTCAAAACAGAATTTTCTGGGACCCAAGAATCAACACTAAGAGACCCATCTCTTAGTGTAGCCAACAAACACTATAATTTTTTATGATTAAAATTGCTACACTAAATGTTAAAGGTCTAAACAACAGACCTAAAGCTCAGAGAACACTCACTCTCTTAAAATCGTATAATTTAGACATAATCATGTTACAAGAAACCAACTTAAAAGACTTGAGCACAAGACACTTCTTATCACAAATTTGGGGATTTGACTCCATATGGTCTTCGAAAACTGCAATATTAGCAGGCAAAAAGAATATCAAACTCACTGACAAAAAAGAATCACAAAATGGCCGAATAACCAAAGCTAAGGCAGAAATTAAACATCAAGCTTTCTCGTTTATTAATGTCTATACCCCACCTAGCCTAGATGAGAGAACATCTTTTCTTAGAAACTGGGTTCCAGACACTTCAAATGACAGTATAAGCATTATAGCAAGAGACTTTAACACCAACCTGAACCCAGAAACCAATAGAATAAGTCAAGCTCCAGCACAATATGATCACTCCAAAGGTTTCTTAGAAAATCTAACTAAGGACTACATAGACACAGCACTCTTTTCTAAGGAGAGTCCATTTCTTACTTACTACCAAACTACTCAAGAAGGTCAATGAATGGCAATCTGTCTAGATTATATACTAATCGAAACAAGCTATAGTCACCTATATACAAACATATGTACACATTTTGGTAATTCAGATCATCTGCTAGTGGAAACTGAAATCAACCTTAGGCCCAAACATCTAAAAAAAATCATTATGGAGATTCAATAGAAAACTTTGGATCTCATATGAATTTAAAGCAGACATTTCTACAGAGCTTCAAAATATTCATGACACTAAAGATTGGGATTGGCACAAACGTGTAATCCAATCTATAGCAAAAGCTATTAAAGCTGAACCAGCTACAGAAAAAAACATTCAGAAGCTTCATAAAAGACTCAATTATTTTAATAACAAATTAGCAAAAAACCCAGAACTCGAGGAACTTAAACTGATTATAGAAGACTTAAACCTCAAACTACAAGAAGAACTCACCTTACTATCTAACAAATGGCAACTAAGATCTAATGCTAAATGGATTGAGGAAGGTGAAAAATCTACCAAATACTTTTTTTACACTATATAAAAAAAGAAATTCAGGAAGCTGTAGACCCAACTCAGCAACACAGAAACAAATTATAAGTTATATCAAGGAATCCTATGAAAATGTCTATAAAAAGGAATCTATTGACAAGGAGGCAGCCAAGCAGCTTACTGAGAACTTAGCACAGGTCTCTTCCAAGCAGAATCTCGCCCTAACAAAACCCTTTTCAGCAGAGGAAGTAAGTCAAGTAATTGACAAACTTCCAAACAATAAAACACCAGGATTAGACGGGCTCACATATGAATTTTTTAAAGACACTAAAGAAATTATTATGCCAAAACTGACAGATTTGTTCAACAATATTCTGGAAACTGGAGAAATTTCATCATCCTGGAGTAAAAGTCTTATTACTTTAATACCCAAAAAGGCAGATAATTTGTCAGAGCTAGGTAACTGGAGACCTATATCTTTGGTTAACTCAGACACCAAAATTTTCATGAAAATTTTGGCCAACAGAGTTAACCCCATATGCAACGATTTAATTGGCCCAGCACAACAGGCTTTCATATCTGAAAAATCAATTACTGATACAGCAATAGATATTATCACAGTTATGAGAAACCAAAGTGATCAGACTAAACAGCATTAGCTTCTTCTCTTGGACCAACAAAAGGCCTTTGACAGAGTCAACCATAACTTCATCTAAATAGTTCTGAAAAGAATGAACTTTAACCAAAGGTTTATAAACATAATCAGCTCTCTCTTCACTACACAAAAAGCACGACTCTGGAATAATCTTTGAGCCTTTTAGAGTAGAACGAGGAGTATGACAGAGAGACCCTCTCTCACCTCTTCTGTAAGTGCTGGCTATCAATCCACTAATCAATGCAATCAACCAAAACATAAATGGTATTCAAATCAATAATTCAGCATTCAAGATAGCGGCCTATGCAGATGATCTCTCAATAGGAATTAGTTCCCCATCTGACTAGTCCAAACTTTTAGAAATATTAACAAAATATGAAAGGGCCTCAAATGCTGTCATCAATAAAGCAAAGTCTACTCTAATTCCACTAATGAACATTGCCCAAAGAGTCGAATTACCTAACCAGGACATGTTTAAGTTCCCCAGTGAAGACCAAAATTCTTTCACTATCTTGGGTTATACTGTAGATATAGAAGGACATCCGGCAAAACTCTTTGGTCCGAGATGACTAGAAGAATCAAGAATAAAATACAGTACCTCTCACAGAGAAACCTCTCATTTAAAGGAAAAATCCTAGCATTCAAGACACTACTTATCTCTAAAATATGGTACCATACCTGGCCTACCTACTACCTTCTACAAGAAAACAACTAAACGAACTTAATACTTTAATTATAAATTGAATAAAGAAGAACTCAAGAATGCTTCTGCAATACTCAACCTTCCAACTCAGTACAGAGCAAGGAGGATTATCAGCTCCAATCCTTAAAGATATGCTTGATGATAGGCTATTATCAATTTGGATTAAACTTCTCTCAAGCAATTCCTTTTGGGCTATAACAGAAAGAGAAAAAGCAACAATAATGCTACAGAACAAAAGAAGGCTAACTCCTAAAGAAGCATTATCTCAAGTACTTTGCAGAACTAGAGGATGAACAGACAGCTGGAAACCTTATGTTACAGCCTGAAAAAGATTTAAGAGTAGGATCAGTACGACTCACTTCTGGTCATGGACACTTAAGCAAATTATAATAAACGACATAGATGGACAACAATTCACAGTCAAAAGAGCACTATCAAGCTGGTACAAAATAACTGAGAAACCTCATAAAAACAGAGACAACTAAAACAAGAGGCATACATCTTATAAATGGCTAAAAACAAAATGGATCCTAAATAAAAAGAAAGATATCTTTTGGAGGTTAACTCATAGAGCACTTCCACTAGGCTACTGCTTAGTTCATATTGACCAAAACAACTTGAGGGACTGCCTGAACTACCCCTATGTCACTCAAACAATAGAACACTTTGCTTTAAAATGCCCACTCAGCAAAATCATCTGGGAAACTACATATAAATCACTGAAAGGAGCAGGAAACGAACCCATACCTATTATACTTGAGGAAATCTTCCAAGCAACTAATATAGGAAATACAAAAAAAAGAGAAGCTGCTACCTGGCTTCATATAATAATGGTTTATGAAATTTGGTGCTGGTATACTCAAGTGAGGTGGGTCAGCTCTTTAATACTGCAAGAAGTAATTGCAAGTGTCATAACTATTAGACTTAGATATGAAATCAATCTTCTATATAGACTAGCTTATCAAAACTTAAATACTAGGTCTAACAAGACTAAACGTATAATCAATTTCATCAAACATTCTGTGTAAATATGTACTTTAACTTGTAGATTTAAATAAAGTATGCTTAAATGCGTAAAAAAAAAAAATAATAATAAAAAAATAAAAAACTCAACCCTCAAATTTTTTATAGGTAAAACACAAAGAAATAATGCCAACAGTCAGCAAAATAATCTATTGAAAGACTGAAGGGTTTGGAAAGATTCTTTGGAATCTAAACTTAAATGAAATTGAATCAAAAGTGAACTTGCTAAGAAAGTTAGAAAATCCACCACATTCAAATTTAATTGAAGGGCTATTACAAATAATTCTTGCATTAGATATCTTCTTAGATACATCTTTACAATCTTCTGAAAGCGACAATTTTTATATTGTAGTCTACAATGCTGTTCATTTAGATAGTGGAGAGATTTACGAACTTTAGGAGATTTAGTAGTTTAGCAACATTTCAGTTACTCCTACAGAAGATCAAGTATTCAAATCTACAAATAATGCATGGTATGAAAAGGTAAATAATTCTATTACTTTTTTTTTTTTAAAAAAAACCTCCAAGTTTTGTTATTTCTAATACCTTATTTTTTTATAGATATTAATTTTTTTAAGACTTTTTCAAGGTTTATTAAAAGAGCCATATGATTCGCTGGTATGATATCATGCTAAAAGAACCTGAACTTTATGGCTGTTCACAGTTGTATTATTCCAAAGAATACAACACTATTCCTATTGGGTCTATCATTCAGAAAGTATATATTGTACCAAGATTTAACAAAAAAAATCATTTTTTGTTTTCAAAAATATTATAAAATATTACTTACCTTTTATAATTTGTGAACAAAATCTCTAAGATAATAGTAGCGAGATAATATTTTTACAGAGAAATAATCAGATTTATTAATAAAATCAATATTTTTTAAAATTCATTAAATTATATTCATTTAAAAATAATCAAAAAAAAACTCTTTCTAGTTCACCTCCGGAAAAATACTTGAAAACATAATTTTACAAAAAAGTTCATTTTTTATCTTCAACTTTCCCAACAAAACAAGAACCTCAGGGTCCAGAAAGCACAAACTTATTACTCTAAACATGGGTAAGCAACCAAACAACAAGAAGCTCAAATTTTCAACTTTATAAAAACTGAAGAAAATAAAGAAAACAAAGAAAATATTGCAGAACTAGTTAACAACAACAGCAGCCTCAAGTTAGAAGTGAACATGTCAACAAATATGAACTTTGATAAGTCTGATACCAACTGGGCTAACCAAGTAAAAAAAAGAAAAGACAAAGACAAAAGAAAATGAGATTGTAAATTCTGGCAATCAACAAGAAGCATGTGTTGAGTCTTCCAACACAACAAACCATGCAAACACGTCAAACGAAATAAACAACAAACAAAAACACGTAAACGCAACACGTGATAACACACAAACAGCAGATCCCGACCCAAAGGATAGACCCAGCACCCGAACCAGGGAAATACAAACCTCCAGAACAGGAAATCAACCTTCTGAGAACAAACGATGGTCAGAACTTTTCTCCAAACTAAAAGAGGGAAAACTCTCCAAAAATGAAAATGCACTCATTTTTAATATTCAGGATCTGGTAAATATCTCTACAAACGACATAATTTTAGCTTTGGCAACCAAATTAGAAGGAGACCTACTAGCAGCCAAAACACATATGCAAAGAGAAAAGCGTGCTTTTCTAGAAACCGTCTTTGTTAACAAAGACAACCAAAAGCTTTATGCTTCAGAAGGAATTAGCATCTTCAACCAAACTCTATTTGGTTACATCCCAGTAAACCTCAAGTGTAATTTTCTCTCAGTCAAGTTAAGAAATATGCCGATGGAAGATAAGGAACAGATAAATGAACTCGTTAAGATAGCATTTCAAGATGTAGGCACTATTGCATCAATTAAACCACTCTTATTTGAAGGAACATCAATATGTTCAGACCAATGGATTATCACCTTCAAAACCACAGAAGACCCTGACCTAGCCAAAAGACTTCTAGGTACACCCACGTCGGTGACCACAAAGTCTCAACAGATTGGAAAGAAGCAAAGATTTAAAAGCTTCAATTGAATTTAGACAAAGACTAAAAGAGTATAAAAAACAGAGAACTAGAAGCAAAAAAGCAGAGCCTAAATGAAGTGGAAACACAAACTCAATTTAGCCCAGAAAATCCTTACGCTACAGAAATGGTCTTAGAAAAAGCAGACGAAAGTAGCACAGAGAAACAAAACACAATTCAAACTCCAAAAGAGACAACCTCTCCAGAGACATCTCAAACAGAGAAAAAAGAACTCACAAACACAATTACAGAAACTAATGAGATAGAAACAACTGAAATCGAACTAGAGGCTGTAAATACACCTACAAATGATATCACATCAACAGATGTAGAAATGGATATTGCATCTTGTAGTGCAAAAAGTAGCAAAGAGGAAAGAGAATTTACCTTAGTTATCTCAAAAAAAGGAAAGTATAAGAGCAAATTGAAGAAAGGAGGCTTTTCGCTACTTACCAGAGTCAACAAAGTAGATAAGGGGAATAACTCCCAAGGAGTTACTTCTCATATCTAACCAACGAAACAACCACAAGTGTAGCCTAACACCTACATATTAACTCATGATCAAGATTGCCACACTAAACATAAAAGGCCTTAACAACAACGTAAAGGCTCAAAAAACTTTAACTTTACTAAAATCATATAAAATAGACTTAATTCTTTTACAAGAAACAAATCTCAAAGACATAGCAACAAGAAAATTTCTCTCACAACAGTGGGGATACGATTCAATTTGGACCACCAAAACAGCTATTTTAGCAAGAAAAGCAAACATTAAGTTTGTTGAAACCAAAGTTTCACACAATGACTGGATAATCTCAACCAAACTAACATACAAATACTGCCAATATGCGGTTACAAATATTTATGCTCCTCCAAGCCATGAAGACAGATATCAATTTTTTAGCAACTGGGCTCCAACACTAGATACCAATGCATTAAATATAATAGCAGGGGACTTTAATACAAACCTTGACCCCAAAATCAATCATATTAGCTACGAAAGATGACCCCTTTCTGACCTTCTATCAAAACACACAGGGCAACTAGAAAATGGCTACCAGATTGGACTACATATTTGTAGATACCAACTACGGCTGTCTCAACTTCGAAACCCAAACTCGCTTTGGTAACTCAGACCACTTGCTAGTAGAAAGCCAAATTTCAAGTAAATTTAGACACAAGTCTGCATCATATTGGCGATTCGATAGAAAATGCTGGGCTATACCAGAAGTAGAGACAGAAATAAGAGGAATAATTAAAGATACTCAAGAGAACCAGAACTGAGATCTCTACAAATGTACAATACAATCAATAACCAGGGCTTACAAACCCAAACCTATACTAGAAAGTAGAATTCAACAACTTCACAAAAAGCTAAATAACCTCAACAACAAACTGGCCCAAAACCCTGAGCAAGAAGACTTTAACCTTCTCGCTAAATACACAAAAGCTCAAATTCAAGAAGAATTAGTATCTCTCTCTGAAAAATGGCAACTAAGGTCTAACTCAAAATGGATTAAAGAAGGAGAGAAGTCTACAAGATACTTCTTTTCACTCTATAAATCCAAGCACACAACTTCAAGCTGCTCTAAAATACGGGATCCCAATAATACAAATTTAGACAAACCTCTCAAAATTCTCGAATATATTAAGACCACCTATCAGGAAATATACAAGGCAGAAGATTCTGACCAGAAGGCAACAAATGAGCTAACACAGAATCTCCCTAAAGTCACAAAAGAACACAATATACAGCTGGTTAAACAAATAACCAAGGAAGAAGTAAGCAGTACAATAGATGCACTGCCTTGCAACAAAACACCTGGATCAGATGGGCTCACCTATGAATTCTACAAAGCTATGAAAGAGGAACTCCTCTCCTTCCTAACAAAACTCTTCAATTATGTACTTAACTCAGGGGATATGCCTAACTCCTGGAATAAAAGTATAATTACTCTGATCCCAAAGAAATCAGACAACCTAGAAGACATTAACAATTGGAGACCTATTTCCCTTGTAAATAGTGATGCTAAAATCTTTATAAAGATTATGGCCAATCGCATCAACCCAATATGTGATCTTCTTATTAGCTCAGCACAACAAGCATTTATTAGAAGAAGATCTATAACAGACACTGCACTAGATATTCTAACAGTGCTAAGAAACCAATCTGACCAATCGAAGCAGCACTGGCTCCTGTTACTAGACCAACAAAAAGCATTTGATAGAGTTAACCACTCTTATTTGCAAACAGTCTTCCAAAAAATGAACTTTGACCCAAAATTCACCAGAATTGTCGACATGCTTTTTTCAACTCAACAAGCACATATTACAGCAAACGGTAAAATCTCAGAACCTTTCAAAGTTGATTGAGGGGGAATTCATTATTTCCACTATTATATATAATAGCTTTCAAACTAGCAGTATATGCAGACGATCTGACAGTGGGATTCAGCTCCACAACAGACTGGGATAGCTTCACAAATACTATTAACAAATATGAAAAAGCATTAAATGCTAAGGTCAACAAACACAAGTCTATTTTAATCCTACTTATAGAAAATACTTGCAGAACTCAATTAAAAGAAGCAGAACTACTGCAAGTACACAATGCTGATAAACCTCTAACAATCTTGGGATATGAAGCAGATATTACTGGCAGTCCATTCAAGAATATTTGGCAAAAAATGGTCAAAAAATCAAAAAAAGGCATAGACCACCTCTCAATGTGAAACCTCTCGCTTAAAGGGAAAATTTTGGTAGCCAAATCACTACTCATCTCTAAAATATGGTATTTAGCCTACCTGCTACCACCTAGCAGAAAACAACTCAACGAAATCAATACAATCATTTCAAACTGGACCAAAAACAAATCAAAGATGCTTCCCCGATACTCAACTTTTTAACTAAGTTGAGAAAAAGGAGAACTAGAAGCTCCAGTTTTAAAAGATATGCTAGACTCAAGACTGGTCTCAATTTGGATTAAACTCCTCTCAAGCAATCACTTTTGGGCCAAAGCTGAAAGAAACATTATTCAAACAGGAATTCAGAACAAAAGAAATATATCAATTAAGGCAGTACTCACCGCACAAAAATATAAAGCTAAAAGGATGGCCTGACAGATGGAAACCTTATCTAAAGGCATGGATTAGAACTAAAGGACAAGTAGTAGCAACAAACAATTGGCCTTGGCCTCTAGAAGACCTAAAAATAGAACAAGTCACAGCTGACAATTACTAAGTTAAGATATATACAGAGGCTCTACGCAAGGAACTACCACCAGCTCCTACTTTGTTACTCAATGCAGAAACCCCACAACAGGAACTAAGTATCTGGATCAAGATGAAATC